GAGCGACGCGCCTCAGCAAGGGGAACCCTCCGAGACCTTGTTCAAGTGTTCATCACTGCGCGGCGTGCTGTCCCTCTTGCGCAACTCAGTTGGGCAGCACGGATCCAACGCGTCCTTGTACCTCGCCGAGGCAAATGTGCTTTGTCTTGTGTTCATTGCAGATGCACCGCTGCCTGTGATGCACAGCAAGCAAGCATCGCTATGCATTGCCACATTCGAAACAGAAATATTTGGGCAACGCTCTGAGCACAGAAAACAACAGAGGGTGGGTCAAAGGCGTTGCCAATGCGTCGACGCTGTGAGCATCACTATGTCCTCTTTGGATTGTCCCTGTGGCCTATTATGGCATGGCAGGGCTCATATCTGTGCGAAGCTATGCCACAAGGGGTCCAAGGTGTGTTAGTAGGGACACCTCTGGCCAAGCCAGTGTTTCACAGCCACCGTAGGCCCTAGAGCATCGGATCCCTACTCGCAGCATCGCTGTCTGCGGCCACGCGCCGACGTCTCCGCTTCTTTCAGCCGCCGCCGATGTCGTAGAGCCGGCCAGCAACGCACAGGTTCCGCTTCTATAGATGCCCCATGCTAGTGGACCCTCAACACCGACAACAGCCACTTGGTGACCAATTTGCAGTGCAAGACATTCCCCAGAATATGAAAAGAATTCTGCGATTTTGTTTCTGGGGTTGCATATTAAAGAGCACCAAAACAGTTTTCGGATTCCAATCGACAAATTGACACAATATATGATGGACTGTCCTCTGCTACGTGAGGCGCAGAGATATGTTGCGTTGAGCGCAGGTAGCCCCTGTGCCAGTTTGGCAGGGCGAAAGGGAGCTCCGAAACCTTCCAATACGCCCAGAAGGGGTTGCCTGTGGGCGTGGCGACTGGTACACATCTGCAGAGCCTCGGCTACTCGTTCCATTCGACCCTTCACCCTCTCCTTTTGCAACCAGCAGACATCCCGCATATATCCAGTTGCAAAGACGCCGTGGCTGCCGCAAATTCGACAGCCGGCCCTGTTGCCGAACGGGAGGCCAGGTGACAAATTCATTCAATAAAGAGGTGGGTCACAGACCTGGAGATGAAGCGAGTTGCACCGCGCACAAACCCGCGTCAGCGGCTCCCCCGGCGCGTCCGTTGTCGATCCCACTTCCTGAGAACCTCGCCACCTGGCTTTGTCGTATTTCCCCTGCCCCTCGGATCTCCGCCTCCCCCAGCCGTTGAGCCGCCGAGCCTCTCTGGCAGTCCACTGGGAGTCTAACACCGATGCCTTACGAATCAACCACACCGCCGCACTGGCCTCACTCTTCCGCTGCACCTCGCCGGGTCGGCCTGAGCTTTTTTGTGAGCCGCGCCAACCGCCGCCTCACTGCCACCATGCTTTCCGCCCCACCGACAGACCCGCCCTCGCTCTCCGTCCCGGCGCCTCCATCCCCGGCACGCCGCTTTGTATCCCCGAGACCGCCTGTGTGCAACTGCCGCCGAACAATGAGAGTCAGTATCAGTAACCAGCCACCGGCTAGCCGGCGGTGCGTGGGAATTGGACGTGGGCCCTGCGCAGGCGCTTACGTTACCGAGCTTTCAGGCCACGTCAGCCCGGGACTTGTTCCGGCGAGTCGGAAGCCCCACGGCGTTCCCCGCGGCCTTCCCCGCGGCCTTCCGCGCGCCCTTCCCCGCGGCCTCTCCCCGCGGCCTCTCCCCGCGGCCCTCGCCACGGATGGAGCGCAGCTGCGCCTGGGCGGAGCGTAACGGTGACGTGACCGGTAACAAACAGTGACATCAGGGTTACGTGGGGGTGACGTGCGTGACTCTCGAACGGCTGGAGCTTCCTTGGAAGCGTGGGTGGTGCGCGTCTCTTGGCCGCGCCAGTTGATTGGATGAATAGTCCGATGGTGCGCCTCGATGAGATTTCCCCCAGCACAGCGGCCAAATGGCAGTCCCGTCCGGCGCCGCCCCGCGTGCATGAGGCTCTTTGGGAACAGGCATGATGCGGTGAATACCTGTTTCCTCAGCTGGCCCAGCAAGGGCTATGCACCTTGTCTGTATTACAAACAATAGCTGGGGTTAAACTCATCATTGCAATGGCAGATTCTTTCGCTTGTGGATGGCTGACAACGAGCGACCACATCAAAGCACAAATCTACGTGCTTCCAGGGCAAAGGCAAGTTGAAGCATTTGGAAACAGAAGGGCAACAGCTGTATCAGCTGCCCTCTTTTGCACCTGGGCATTGTTATTGGTCCTAATGGCTTCAGAGGCACCTGAAAATCGCCCATATTCGCCATGTGATGGCAAGTGCATCGCCAATGGCCATCATATGGCCCTTCACCACAGCACTGGTGCCTGAGTATGACTATTGAACGTTGACAAACTTGTTGAGGACATCGGAATGGGCGTTGGTCAGGAAACATTGTACCGGCTCTCCCATTTGGCATTCTGCATCGGTTGTTCATCAGGGCAACAATTGTGCACATGTTGGTGGCACAACACAGTCGCAGTGCCACTGTCAACCTGCAGTGCCAGTCAAATCCGCCCGTGTGCTGCCTGACACATGGCACTAGACACAATCCAAGTCGCTTAACAAGTTTCATGACCTTCAAATCGATTCAACCACGATGACCTTCCACTATGAAGCATCATGCAACCAGAACATTGGTTGACTCAAGATCTTCCTGCCTGCTTTGATTATCTTGCATTGCATCAATCAGTTCCAGAAAACAAATGGAAGCACAGCGATCCACAGAAGATGTAAAATAGAGCGAGACATATGAGAACAGACCAATGCACTCATGTTAAGACATGTCAGCAGCTGTGCACACCCAGGTGTGTCATTATCCCATCAATACTCATGCCAGGTATTGGCCATACTTCATCATACACAATCTGGAATCAGCTCCCCTCTCATCCCACACAACGACTCGACAGGCACAAAGATGCTGGTCCATTAGTACTGGGGCACAATCGAGATTCCAGAAATGTGGAAAATATGCTCTGGGGCCAACAGAGTTCATGCGCTACCTTGACAGTGCGTTTGCGCCACATGCATCAACTCTGCTGAGAATTAGTGCCTCAATGGTAGAAACAATATCTCAATGGCACATGCAACCAGATGCAGACTGGTATCTTGCTTTTCTACACACGACCAGTGCTGCGCCATGGCAGCAGCTGTCCCTGGACAGGTGCGAATATGTGTACGTGTGTGTGTGTGTGTGGGTGGGAACTATTGACACCCAACAGAGTGGGACAGTGCTGTCCCTAACCTAGGCAAAGGAAACCTAGGCAAAAGAATGGTGGGGCATTCAAGCTGGAAGGTGACAAGAGGCAGAGTACAGCCGACCTGCAGCACAAATGGCAGATGCACATTTGTACACAGGGCACTTGTGCAGCTTGCTGGGTTCCATGGGCAAACTTTGATAAACTGGTTCTGTTGGGAATCCCAACTTTAGGAGAGAGTGTTCTGGTGATCAGTCCAGATGTGCACTGCAACGGCTTGTAACCAATATCTCAATACAAGTGCAGCACATTTTCATTTTTTTGACGTGTCATATCAGAAAGGCTTACAATGCTCATGTTGTTCTGAGCTTTGCCACACTACAAGAATATAGCCTAGTCACTCAAATGCGTATGAGCAAATTGACGTGCATACATTTTTTACTGGTTTCTACTTGTGCATTATACTGTTGAAGGAAAATTCTGGCAGCAGCAGAGTTGCACCAGTGTCAGTACTTCTTTAGGGGTAGTTTTACGATCACCGCATTGGTGTTCAAGTGTGGTGACCATGCAGTACGTTATAGAGTGTTTTGTTCGACTCTGTGTTGGCCCCTGCTCTGAAATTCCCCTTCTACTGTTTCATGTTTCACACTTTTTGCACTGCCAGCAGTGGTAGGGCTATTTAGCAACAATGAGACCCGCAAAGGCATGGGAAGCCAACAACAAAGAATATCCACAGGGACCACATTCACCTGAAAATGACAAACAACTGCCATTGCACCAGCAAGCCGATGCTGAGGCTAACAGCGACAGCATTACCCAACGTGTGCTTGTCCTGATAGAGGGCAACAACAGATTGCTGTGGCTGCTGCGGGTGAAGAGTTTCTCAACAAGGCAGGTAGTCAGCCTTTAGTCACCACCTTGTCACAAGCTCCAACTTAGCCATTCATGCAGGGAGGTTTGGGCCCTAAAACCAGATGTTTGCCCTGGTGCCCTCTACTGCAACTCGGAAGTGCTAAGGGATCAGGGGCTTGGAGAAGCACACGTGCGCAACTTGATAGGGGTAAGACATGAACGATAGTCTGTCGAAAGAGGAGCGGGCGGCGAAACTTCATTCCCTGCAAAGGCTGGCGCAAACCAGTTCGCATTCAGCCACAGCCCTGGAGCGGAGTGGGCCACCCAGCACCAGGGCGGTGAAGATACGGCGGCGTCGCCTCTGTGCTTCCCCACACCGTTATTTCACATCGTTTTCTGGTTTTCCCATTGTCGATTCGCTGCTTGCACCGCTGTTCTGCGCCTGCCCCTCCTGGCTTGGCGCTGGTGCCTTACAGGGGGCCGCTGGACCACAGCCTGCTCTGTAGCAAACACAGAGGTAAACTGCCACAGGCCACATGCCTGGCGGGCTCATGAACAATCGTGGTTCGTGGGGTGAGCATCAGGCTGAATGGTTGCAGCACAAAGTCCGCGGAGGACACCGGCATCAGCTTTGGGTGTCTGGAAATGATGAAACGTGCTTCATGCCAATGTTGCTGTGGGTTTTTCCCTGCGGGGCTGGCGTTCCTGTGCCTTTGCGCCCTCAAGGCCGAGGCCAAGACTTGACGGCGAACAAGGGGACACGGCCAGCTTGCGTCCTCCTGCGCCATTCCAGCGGATGTTCGTCCGCAGCCGATCCTCCGGCATCAAAGTTGATTGAGCAGGCCCCAGGTCACAAATGGTGGCAAATGATGGCTTGCTGGTGTGATTGTCGCGTGTCAATGTGCTGTCTCGCGTCCAACCGTAGGGAAGGCCCGTAATGTTCATCAGGGCGGTGCTGGTGGACGAGTCTATAAGTGCAATCCAGGGCCCCACCCCCAACCCCCCACTCTCTTCCCCCCCCGTCGATGCAAGTTCTCAATGTGGGAGTTCACAGGCAGAGGGAGCCCTGGCAAGGGTGGCCACGGCTTTGTCTTATTTGGGGTCACGGGCCATTCTGGCACTCGGTGGCCCCCTCCGGCCTTGTTGGGGGGGCCATGGGGACCAAACACTGTCTTCCAAAGATGTTGATTGTCCTCTCGCTGCCTGCCCAACCCTGTCCTCCTGTCCTGTCTGTTTGTGACACCAAGGCCTGTCTTCTCCTGGGTGAGCCAAGAAACTTAGACCATCTTGAGAAGACAGGGGAACCTTTTCTGTAACTTGCACACTACTGCAGCATCGCTGTGTAAATGCTCAGCTATGTGTTGCCTGTCTTGAGGATGGGTGTGGCTTGGGCGCAGTAATGTGTGGCAAAGGTCTCCAGGTTATAGAGGGTTTGTTTCTAGCACATCCTCCCCTCCGGGTGTTCTTTTAATGTGGAACTGGGTGCAGCTTGGTCACTGATAGGAGATGGTAGCCAATGTTCTGTTTGCATTGTTGGATGGTAGGTGCATGCGTGTGAGAGTGCTTATGCAGATGGCACTGCATGTGTGACAGCAAAACTTGCAGTGCATCGCCGTCAACACCCACATCTCTGGAAATAAAGGTGACCGAGACAGCATTGATGCGGCAGTGCAACGTGGCACAATGACTCCTGTTGTTGCCTGGCTTCAGTGCTTCTGACGCTGTGGTGGTGAAAGGCATGGGTGTGCCTGCAGTGTTTGCATTGTGTGTGCTGAACTCTTTTGGAGGTGTGGGTTGCTGGCTTTATGATTCCATTCTGTATAGGGCACAAAAGTATCATCATGTCGTTGGTCGTTGAAGCCAGAGGAAGGGCTTCGACAAAGCACACATTCCATGCTACCTGTGATGCAAGAAAGCCTTTGCGGAAAGCTTTCCTGTGCAGCCATGCAGAACAGAATTGTTGTGCTGAGAGCACGTCGACAATGATGCAGCATTGCGCTGTGGTACTATCAAAACTTGTCTGTCAATCCCTTTCCCGTTGAAATGCAGCAAGGGAAGTGGAACAAGTTCGTGTCAGATCCAATCTTTGCATGCCTCAAAGTGCACCACTTGTGGCTGTCTCTTGTGGGTATCCCCAGAATGGGATGTGCTGCAGTTGGAAGTTGCACACTGAGATGAGTTTGGTCCAGAATGAAAGGGGATTAACGGTGTGCTTGTCGATTAATTCAACGCTGTTGGAATTGTGAATCTGGGTTGGGTTTGGAGTACCAGGTCGACTGCCCTGAAAGTACTGGGTACCCTGTGCTCTGTATGTGGCCTGAGTTGCGATGGCAGGAGGGTAATGTGTGCATGCGTGTTTGGAGAGTGGAGCTTACCAAGGCTATTATTGTCCTGTTGGTTATCTGTGCCATGGTGGATTGTTGTGGTGATGCTGCAATCTCCTGTTCAGTTGATTGCGCATGCACAGCTGCGCTGCAAAGCATGCTCAGTCAAGGCTCAATTGGTGTGCACAGGAGGACAGTGGAAGGAAGAAGGCAAAGTTTCATGCAACTTTTACAGATTGCTATTGCTATCAATTGTTCACAAGGCTCCTAGAATTGAGCTTCCAAGGACCCTGAGACTCAATATCCTCTCCTGAGACTCGGGGAACAAAAAATCTTGTAATGGCAGTGACATGCAACACTCAAGTGCTAAACACTGCCATTGTTTGACCCAGTCCTTCAAACTGCCGTTTTGCCAATACAGCGCTAAAAGCTGCCATTGTTCTGCGCATGCAGTTCTAAACACTACCATCATTATGCCAATGCAGACATTCCAGACGCCAGCGAAGCATGAGCACCTTAACTTCGGATAAGCTGCAGCCATGCCCATTTGCCCATTTCCACTATTGGTTGGAACTCTCATCGTTGCGATGGACTACAAGCGGTTCAAGTCATGGCGGCATGTGATATTCCACTTATCGCCGATCGTCGTCGTCATCGTCAGCCAGGGAACTTCTCCTGATAGCCGGGGAAGGCGACGCCACCGGGCGTCTGATTTCGCGTCTTCTGTCTGCATCAAGGTAGGACAACTGCTTAGTGACACAGTGTATGAATCGGAAGCTGCTTAAGTCGAAAAGCCTTTCTACAATTCCCCGAGCACAGCGGCTCATTTGAAGCATTCCGTGCTGGTCATCAGGCGAATCCATCGATAGTAAATGCTGAAGTGACTGGCGCATTGAGGGCATGCAAACGTTGAACCAAAGAGGCGATGCTGCAGCTTCCTTATGTGATGTGTTGCCACAACCAGCACAAGCACCATCCTACCGCCATCGAACAAACCTCTGCTACTACAACGAACAAATGCGCTGTCCATTTGTGACGTGATGAAAACGCAACGGCTGATATTAGCTGGGGAAAACGGCCGGTTTACCACAACCAGTACGATAAGCGCGCCCACGATGGAGCTATGTATGGACCTCAAGGCCACTTGTGGACACCGACGCGGAAGTGTGGTGCGTGAACAAGGCCGCAGAGGTCCAGTGCGGTGGCGCCCGCGCGGGTGGCCGGCTCGGACAGTGCGCGTCATTCCCATGCGACTCGCAGCGCATCCCACTCACGGAATATCAGTAGCTTCCTGGCCGGCGGGAGAGGGGGGTCCACGAAGATGTCGCCCTCGACTGTCCACACATGCACAAACAACGATCACAACGCATCGACGCCTCCACCCCCGTGGATCTCCAGGCCGGTAGGCATTGCAAGCACCGCCGCCCTCCACGATGAATCGGAACGTGTCAGGGCCGCGCTGCCATCAGCGTATCTGACCGCGCAGCCGAGCAGAGAACGCGATCGCTCTCAAGGAGCGGCGCTACGGACACAAACGCTGCCTGCGATGCCTTGCGACCTCAGATCCGTCATCTTTGGTCTGGTGCAGCGCCAGGAGGACACAAACCGTTGCCGGCGAGACATCGAGGCGCACCGGGTGGCGGCGCATGACTCTTTCGATCCAACACTGCCTTCCTCGTGGACAAGATTCGCCCGGTTTTGCGGAACGCATCCTGGCGGATGGCTCTTGCGCGGATTCGGCCAGGGAAAGCGCAACACAGGGATCGCGTGTCGCCACAAGTCACTGCCGCATGGCCGGTAGCAGGTGCAGTCCACACCGGCGCTCGTGATCGGCACCGTTTGCGCGGCGAAAGTGGTTGGTAAGATGAGCGACACGGATGCGTCGAAATGCGATCGGCAGTGACATCGACAGGTGTGCGGCACGCAACTGCGCAGGCTTGTGGGCGCACCTTGGGCCGCGCGGGCGTGGGAGGCGACGTGGCACACAAGGAGGACCGTGGCGATAAAGATTGTCGCGCGATATCCCATGGCGATGCTCAGCAGTCCCAACAAGATGGCAAACTTGAGGACACAGCCTGCGCGGGGGTGCTCGCAAAAACTTGGGAGTGGGAGCCGCTATGGCGCGTCCTGGGATTCGGCAGGAACAGGCCGCTGCCCTTGTAGCGTCGGCAAAGCCTCTCTCCGGCGACGCCATTCGTAATTCGCCTCCGAGGGCAAATGCCGAAGCAGGCCCGTCAACGGCGGCACCATGGGAACTTGCCTCTGGGGGAGCGGCAAATACAGAAACTGATATCCGCGATGCTCCAACGTTTCGATATCGTACATCGGGGTGCGCGAGCTGCTCTCCCCCGTCATGGATTCAGCAGGGGCACGCTGCATTCGAATCACGGGAAGTTCTGCAGCTGGCCACATCAACAGCAATCTGAAGGGGCGGAGGGGGCCAAAAAGGAGTCTGGCCCCTCGCTGGCGATACCCTTGGAAATTCACCTCGTGGAGCATCGCGTTCGTTCACTAAGTGCACATACCGCTCTGCGTAATGCGCGAGGAGGCGCCTCCCATGCCTGGGTTCGTCGGATTGGGCAACACCGACGATTGCCATGGGTTCGCACATGTGGTGAGCACATCACCGCATCCACCAAACTGCTTACGTAACGTTACTCAACGGCCGCTGTTGGACCATGCTCAGCATCATCGACAAAACGATAGCATGGTTTTCAGAGTAAACGCAAGTGGAAACCAAAAATAAGGGCTCAGATGCTGATGATCATATCATTCCATTTACCATCGAAAACCGGTCAAACACATCAAAGCAACGCCAATGTTACTTCAACCGGTGACCCACTCAACGCTTTCAGTAATTCATCGACCATGCATCCCCCATCCAATCTCCTTACCAAAGCGTTTGGTGGTTCCACGCCCATCACGACAGAATTCTGGACGTTCCCCACACTCCAGCTGACCCACAATCAATCTGTGATACATGCTCAATTCTTGCCACAACGCCCCATCATGAGTGGCACCCATTATGGCCACATATATCACAAACTGACCTTGAGAGACCAACCCATGATATTACATCATGGAGCCCGAAATTCGCATTGGTTGCCACCTCGCTCCATCGACTAGCGGGCAAATCACAAGTTCTTACAAATCCCCAGGACTTGCAACTCTCGGCCTCTGCCCCACTGGGGTGGGCAGATCCATATTTGTACCTCTATCGGCACACGACACGCCGTGGCCGCACCCAAGGAACTTCATTGTGTATTTCTCTCACATGTCACTGGAGTTACCTCACTTGTCTCACTGCCACTCCCCATCACCTTTCACTCTCCGGTTCTGCCATCACAATGGCGCGGCACCGACGCTGCTGGCTCCGCGACACGGCACAGTGATGCCATCACACCAAAATCGCACCTATCACACTTCATCACACTGAACCCCACAGCTCGCCTCCGCGGCTCGCCCCTGCAGCTCGCCCCCGCGGCTCAAAGCTACTACCGGCCCATCAAACAGCTGCCAAAAGGCTAGCCTAACGTAAGGCTCCACTGAGAGCCGTGCTGCCACCTCCGGGTGCCGGCAATGGCTGTGATGGCTCTGGGCGCTGCCCTTAGTAGTGCAACTGGAAATGGTGCAAGCACTCACCCATCCCGTGCCGCCTTGGGCCAAACGGCCAGCGCCCCCATTCGGTGACCAAAACACAAAAGTGGCCAACAAATGTTGGTCATTTTGTGGGAAACCGAACATGGGCACTCCCACGCCTACCCACTGCGCAGAAACTCCGAAAAGTTCATATTGATCTTAGTCTATCATACCCTCAATGGTGTTTGCATTGGAAACCATCAAAGTCAAAGTCAGAGAAATCATAAGATACAACCATTACCACGAATTTCAGTCCTCCCCTGATTTAAAGACCGGG